TGCTCATCCTCCTCCTCCTGCTGCTGCATATGTTTTCAGCTTTTCTGTGTTTGTCTACTACACGGCAATTGATACTGCAGCACTGCTAAGCTTGCCAAGGCGAGAAGCATCAAGACACCCGGGGGCCCAATACACGTGAATCGAGAGATGTACCCTACTGAACTTACTGTATCTGAGTAGGGAGTAAGGCAATATTTTGTGTAGGGATTATCTACAGATTCTTTTCCCTTATTCCCTATTAAGAACCTATAAGAAAATCTCTTTGAAGATATAGCGCTAAATGCAGGAGTACTGGGCTTCCTGGGCAGCATATTAGGACGTCAGCGCTATTCCAGTTGCCACTAAATATCGCCATCCCCCGCTCACTCGTCACCACCGGGATCCTTTGTATTCTTTTGGGCTTGCAGAGCTGCAAAAGGATCTGTTTTCTCATGGAGTAGGGACTAGGATAACTCTCATGACAACCAGAGCAATTGAGATCTTATGGTCCCTACCAAAGGAAGAAGGAAAAGTCGCCATCTTCGCCGCAGCCGCAAAGTCAGGAGCGCGATGGGTTCAAGTAGCCATGGATGCAACAGCTTTTGGAGCGTGAAGGTTCAATGTTTGGGATGAAGTAATGCCCATGGACCCCGTACCCCTGAACCAATGAATATATTTGCACTCATAGAACCCCTAATTAATGTGATTTGTAGCCCCCTAATTAATGCGATTTGTAGCTAAATTCCTCCATGGGGAGGTATTGAGCTCCTTGATGGGCATTTTAGGGTTGACGTGTTTATTTGAACCGCAGAGGGCTGGTCCTTTAAGTTCTAAACCCTAAACCTTAAACCCTATGTGCCTGGGGCCTCCCTTTGAAGTGTCGGTATTAGCATAGTGTCGCTCACAGATTTCGGAGATGGCGGCGGGGATTAGGGCTGTAGGGCAAATGCTTCAAGAGAATAAGGCATGGAGGGCTGGATTGTTGCCACAATTTTGGAGGTCAAGCTAGCATGAAACATTATACAGCCCCCATTGAGAATGAGATTAGACTTAAGAGGGCCCCTTTTTGGGGCTCCAATAAAGCTCTTACAAGGTGGTTACAAGACTTCTCCTGTACTTCTTGCAGAGGTTCTTGCATACGCCTCTAGACAAGGTGCCTGGTTCCTACATAGTTGTGCTTGAGGCACCCAAAACCACTAAAACCAGTACTGGGTATCTAGGCCACAGCATCTGATACCGGGACTTATGGGCACAAAGTTTCGACTGCCGCTCTATGTTACCCTAAACCAACCCTAAACCTGAGAAACCCCAAGAAATCCCATGCATTTTGTCAGTTGTACGGAACCACATATAGACCCTGGTTTCCCGTGAGCAAACATGAGAGCTTTCCCTAAAAGTCCAAGCAAGGGTTTAGGGTTCAGGGTCCAAGTACCCAAATAATGGGGTTTCCAAATGCTATGATGTAAACGGTTTCGTTATTGGTATTCCAATCCCCAATATTTAAGTAGTTGGTCTCTCAGGGTTTTTCAGGGCTTCCGCTTAAACCGACAGCACTCTCTTTGTAGGGCCCCTGCGGAGCGGCCCTATGTTTACGCCAGGGAGGGTTGATGTTTTGCCTTTGCATCCGTGGCGTTCTGAAGGAGATGGCAGGGAGATCGATTGGGCTTCTTGGCCACTGTTTGCCTTCCCAAAAGCCAACATGGGAACCATATAACACCCGTTGAAAAAGGACAGTCGTCTACAAAAGGCACCCCTAGTATTCAGATGTCACGTTAGTTTACGGCAGGGTATGTTTTACGACCTGCTTTCTTTTGCGAGGTTTTAGGGCCGAGGATGCAGAGGCCATAATGCAGCAGTCTAACACCAGGACCCTTGGTAAGTGATACCTGCATTTGTCCGCAAGCTTATAAATAGTGCCCACTTTTTGCTATCTGCAGCGCTCGCGAATACTGTTACAGAAAGGCCCTTCGCATTCATCAGATTGACATGTCTTTGGTTCCTTGAGGACCCTAAACCCCAAAGCCCCTAAACCCTGAACCATACATCCTAAACCCTAAGCCCTCAACTGATTGGCTTAGAGGTTCCAGGCCTTGGAATGAACAAAATCGTCTCAGAAAAGTTGGCTTTCTTTACAGCGAGTGAGTTCCGCGGTTGCTCAAACTCTAAACCCTATAAACCCCTAAGCCCTAAACCTCCAAATTCAGCGACCCCAAAATGCCGAAAATGCCGAAAATCTGAAAATGGGCCGGAATCCTCTGAGAAGCCCGAGAGGCAGGCCCCTGAAAGGCCCGAGAGGCCCTGGGAGGCCCTAAAAACCCTAAAACTCGACCCGAAAACGCCCGGTGTTGAAGAGTACAAACTTCACCCATTAACCATATCACACTTTTTTAATTGCTTTCATTACCCCAATGCTTGGCTCAAGTTGCCCAAAGCTGCCCTTATACTGAAATGAGATATAACCTATATGGCATCTTCTTCGTCGCCAGCGCCGCCAACTGAACCCGGCGTTGCGCAAGTTTACTCCTAAACCCTAAACTCTTAAACCTTCACCTCCAAACCAAGCCCTACCCCGGCAAACCTTTGTTATTATTACCTTTATCATTACAACTATCAACCAGGACCTTCCTTGTACCCTTAATTGGGGATATATGGTCCCTAATAGTGGGTACTTAGGCCCTAATAGAGGGTAGGAGGAGGGTCTAGGAATGTTATCATTCTTACTATTATTGTTTGATCATTATTCCTACTACTCTTATTCCGATTATTCCTGGTACTATTTCTTAAACAACCGCCATCCCAAAGAAGATGGGATGGCATCAGACATGATAGTCCTTGCTCTTCACAGTATTCATTCGCGGTTTAGGCTTTTAGGGTTTAGTGCAGGAATTACATGCTACATGTGCAAGCCAGGATAGCTGCAGCCACCTGGACCCCAAACCCGAGCACCCCAAGGCTCAAACATTAACGTTTTTTTGTAGGCACGTACATGAGCCACAATCTAAACTCCTGGAAGAGGGTTCTATAATATAGTATAAGGGGATATGAAGCGGGGTACTAGGAGTTTCGATTATAGTTCTCATGGTTAGAACAGGGCTTGGGCATCTGCCTTTACGATAGTTTAAAACATCAGTAATCCGCGTCTACATTCCACTTTAGCACATTATAACCCCTAAACCTAAATCCTTAATCACTAAACGCAACCTCAACATTCAACAAAAACCGAAACCTTAGACCTAGCACAACACAACTGATATCCCAGACCAATAGAATGTCCGACACTAAACTCTAGACTTGAAGAAAGCCAGCCCTAATCCCTGAACCGCAAACCCAATTAGATAGTTCCCTCGATAGGGGACCGCAATATAGATTCCAAAACACCATAATCCTGATTATGAAAGCCACCCAAAAACTTTCACGAATTTTGAAGAATTCACATATTAATCCCTAAACCCTAGCGCACGAACTGAGGGATGCGCATCCTCCACCCATGCCGTTCAAAGAAGCGGCTAATGCGTCCAAACCCGACGAGCTCCACAGTTGCACCAGCTCAGGGTTAGGGTTTAGGGTTTTAGGGTTTAGAGTCATGTAGCTATAGTCTAAACTCATGAAAGGGTGTGATATAGGGTAGTATTATGGGAGGGGTTCTTAAGTGGGATACTAGGAGTTTTGAATAAGGCTCATGTAGCTCTATTTTGTAGGGTTTAGGGCTTTGCGTTTAGGGTTTAGGGTATAGTATATACTCAGGGCCCAAAAGGGGGTTCCCACATAACTATTTCAGGGACAAAGTGTATACGATATAGCTACATGGACCCTTTGGGCAGTAGGGTTTAGGGTTTATGGCTTCAATACTTCCCATATGCTCAAGCTACCCTCAATTAAGGTACTAGTTACAGGCTTTAGAGTCCAGTGTAGGTCTTTTGGTTTAGGCTTGACATTGCAGGAATTACCTATGTCATTTTTCTAAGAATATCAAAATATATTATGTCCCTGGTGTGCCGATTTAAGTACACATCTCTGGCTACTGGTTGTCCGCAGCTGTATAGAAATTTTGGCCCCCTTTGAGCATCCCTTGAGCAAGACTTTGTCAGACATGGCGGACTCGAAGGTGAAGGACATGGGCCTGGCTGAGTTTGGCCGTAAGGAGCTGACCCTGGCAGAGCATGAGATGCCTGGCCTCATGGCAGCCCGCAAGGAGTTTGGGCCGTCGCAGCCCTTTAAGGGCCTGAACATCAACGGCTCCCTGCACATGACCATCCAGACAGGCGTGCTGATCGAGACCCTGTCTGCCCTGGGCGCCAAGGTTCGTTGGT